GATGACATGATGATTGCATATGCTTACAAGCAAGATATAGATAATTAAATAAGGAGTTTGCAATAAAGGACATGAATCTTGCAAAATAAATTCTTGTGATAAGATTTATTAGGGATAGTGACGTCTAAAAATTGTCACGGGAAGAGTATATGAATAAGGTGCTAAGCAGGTTCAACTTGAATGATGCAAAAATCATTTAGTATTCTTTTGGCTAGTCACTTCAGGCTATCAAATGAGCAATCATCCTCTACATAACAGGAGCGAGTGTACATGGCCAAGGTGTCGTATGCTTTTGCGGTTGACAGTCTTATGTATGCTATGATGTGTACAAGATCGAATATAGCTCACGTTGCAAGAGTTGTAAGTAGATATATGAGCAATCCATGCAAACACCTCCCCGAGGTAGTAAAATGGATTCTCAGATACTTGAGCGGTACTTCAAATTCAGCCTTAGGTTTTAGAAAACCAGGTTTGGGATTATAGGGCTATGAAGACGCTGACATGTTATGATATATTGATGGTAGGAAGAGTATTACTGGATATGTATATACTTTGGGTGGTACAACAGTTATTTGGGTATTTAAGTTGTAGGAGATAGTTTCTCTTTCCACTATTGAGACTGAGTATGTTGATGTAATTGAAGTAAGCAAAGAGATGAAGTTGCAATCTTTTTTGGAAGATTCAGGTCACAAGTAGGGGAAGGGTGTATTGTATTGTGAAAGTTGGAACGCTATTCACTTAGTAAAGAATCCTATTTATCAAGCAAGGACAAAGCATATACAGATTAGTTATCGTTCATCAGATCAACTTTGGATAATGGAATCTTAATACTTGATAAGATTTGGGAGAGTTAGAATATGGCTGACATGTTGTAGAATACTGTTCCAATCAAGAAATGAATTTTGTATGCAACTTCAATTGAACTTATCTTTTGAGGAATTAGGAGTTGTTGCTATTGTAGAAGAGTCATTGATGGTGAATTAGTCTTTAAGCTGGAGATTGTTAAGTCGTGGAGCCTAATTATTGTTGATTCTAAGGACTATTTAGGAAATTGCATTTTTGTAAAATTTTAATATAAAATTGGAGTCCTTGTATAATTCGATTTTGCCATAATAAATGGGGAGTCATTCTTAGGCTTTATTATTATCATCAAAAAGAGAAAAAAAGAGACTTGAAAAAATATGGGTGCGATTTTCTTTTGTAAACATTTTTTTATCATAATGAATTATACAAGGACAGGAACCTCTATAAACCTTGCATGTTTTTTAGTGTGTATTTTTTTCTTTCTTTGAATTGATTGCTCTGGATGGAATAAAATTAACATTTATAATTCTCAACATCTATATAGTAGTAACATTTTCATAATAAATATAACCTAAACAAAAAATATTGAGACTTTATTGCATCCCATAATAGTCTACAAATAAACATTAGGGTCCGTCTGGCAGAGGTTCTGATTTTTCTTCTACTAACATAGGTCAATTTTCTTTAAAAAGCTCTTGCAATCAAACAAATTATTTTCTTCAAAATATTATCTAAATGTGCAACTTCTTAATTTTCAAAGTTGTTTTTATCTTTTCAAAAATATCGTCAAACGAGCAATAGAATATTGACAAAACTAGGACTTTATTATTATTATTATAAACTCGTTTTAAACTGCACATATGATCCCAACAATATAATTTTGCACATCAACTAATAATTTTTCATACTTTTTAAATACAATTTAGTGGTAGAGAACGCCCCTGAAAATTGCATCATGTCTCGGATGTGAGGGCAATCATTTCAAATGTTATTTGTCGCGTTTTGTTAAATCCTTCATCAAAATATGAGTCATTTGGAGCAAAACATTCCTATTATTTGATTTCATTGTGCAAATCATCATTATCATTTCAATTTTAATATTTAGATGCTTAAATCAACTTTTCTTTATGTAGAAGATCTTTATTGTCTATTTTCTCTATTTAAACATTATAAATAATTAATCACCTCCTTCTTTAAGTAAACGAATAGAGAATAGAAAATAGAAAATAATATAACGAAAAAAAAAATGTATGTAGAATCCAGAGTTCCAAAATTTTAAAAAGTACAATCAAAATCCATGTTAAACAATTTAAAATATTCTAATAAAAGAAATATATATACCTTTTCAATTAACCCAACTATTCCTGACGCCTAACCCTTACCGTCCAACACCACTACAGCCACTACCAACAAAATAATAAAAAGAGGCCCCTTGGCATAGCTAGTAGTGCAAAGGACAAGAGTGATATTATTTCACTCCTTGCTGGTAGTCGCAATATGAAAATTCGATTCTTGAGACATGAAATTTGACTCCTTGTAGGTGCAGTATACATGCAACTCTTGTTTTCCGACTTGATAGGGCACATTTCGCGATTTACTTCCCTCACAAAACTCTAGGGACGAGGCGATAGGGACTCTCAAGGTTGGGGTTTGAACTTTTTTTTTTGAAACAAAATAATATAAAGAGAATTAGAATATTAAATTATTTTTATTTTTATTTTTACTTTTATTTTTTTATTATTTTTATTTTTTTTAAAGGTGTGTTTAATAAGTCTGGTCTTTATCAGTGCCTGTTGCAATAAATCAGTACGTGGTTCCATTACGCTACATGCTACGGACTGACTCTCAGACTGGCACATCATGTGATACAATGTACAATACACAGTGCATAAATAATGCAAACAGTAAAAAACCAGCCCTCATTTTATAATCTACTATCGAGGTAAAAAAAAAAAAAAAAAAAAAAAAAAAAAAAAAAACAGCAGCTTTTTTGGCTTATTTTTGGCTTATATAAGGGAAAGACTTTTTAATTCTTGAATAAAAGGGACGAATAATTGCTATTACGATCTTAAATCTTTGCAATTTTAACTCTAACTCCATTTGATTACAAAAATAAAATTTAGATAAAAAGAAAACAAATTTTAGGGAATTGAATTGCCTAGAAATTTTTAAATTATTGTGTTTGATTGGTATAATTTTTCATGTGAAAAATGTTGAAATAAAAATATTTTTTAGTGTTCGTTTGGCTTTGTTTTACATGAAAATTGTCGATTAAAAAAATATATTTTTACAATAATTCATAAAATTTGTTTCCATTGTCAACAAACAAAAAAATAAATAAAAATAAATAACGAAAAAAAATATGCTGGAATTTGAAAAATCACCATGCCCCATGGGAATTCATTTTCCCCCAAAACCTGGAAAATGTGTCCGTGTGGACACTGTTCATGGAATTCAATTACCAAAAAAAAAAAATATGGTGTATCAAACACCCAAAAAAGTGGGAAAATGAAAATTTTCCATGGAAATCCTTTGTATCAAACGGTGCCTAATATTTTATTTCTTGTATTCATGATTTCAAAAAATTTCAATTGTGCGATTGAAGAGAGAAACTTCAATAGCATGTGGCGTGATCAGGTTGAGCCACCTCGGTGGGTGGCCTACCACACACCTCCGTGGTGTTTGTGTCATCCGTCGAGATGGCGTCTCGGCATTGAATGAGTGCACTACATGGATGGTGCGCCGGGCCCACTGAAAATTCTGTTGCGATTGAAGGATAAATGGATGAAATATATCCAAAGCATCATCAGTTGATTTAAAAAATTGACTTTGACCAATTTTAAAAGAGTAAAATAATAACTTTATATTTTTCTACTTTAACAAATAAAGTAATTAAATAAAAAAATAAAAAAATAAACTTCGTCGTCATCTTCTTCTCCTTCCTATCCCCACCACAATCTTCTTCCTTTTTCCTCATCTTCTCCCACCAGATTGAACCCAAATTGAACCCGCAATGAATCTCCCAGTTTGCACGTAAGTACCTATTTGAGGGTTATTTTTAATATGATTATAGAATATAGCAACAATTTCCCCAAATATTAGTAAATAAATCATTCTCACTTTATTTTGATTCCATGGTTAGATCGTCAAATATAGATTAATTCCCAATTTCATTTTTATTGTCATTTTAATAATCTTGGTACCTCGCTACACTCTTGAGGTGTCAAAACACCGCTAAACATCACTACAATTTTTGAGTTGTCTAAAAAATATCATGTGTCAATCTTAAATTGTAATGATAAATTAAGATTTATTGTGGTACAACTCAATGGACAAAAAACAAGACAACACATCTTACTTATAATTCTCTCCTATTTTCAAGTCTTTTTTACTAGTGTTACAAAGATCCAGTCGGCTCCTAAATTGTGGTAGGGCTATGATCTAAATTTACCAAAAAATAGATAGCGGGTGCGCGCGAACACACGTATATACAGGTGTAATGAGATTTATAAATCATTTTTTCTGTAAGTACAGTTATTGACATTGTGTGATGTGGTAAATATTTTTGTCATAAATTTTAATGAATTAGTCTTGGTGTACATAGAAATTGTACATAGGGGTGTACACATTCCTCACATGGGCGTGGGGCCCACCTCGTGCGGGTCTCACCTCATATGAGGGACGTGGACACCTTTATGTACAATTCCTATGTACATCAAGTATTGTTCAATTTTAACAACATTTAAAATAAGAATAAAGATGTTTGTATTGAGGTGGGTGTATCGAACCGTTTACACCTCCTCAAAAGCATGCTGGCCCTATGTGTAATTTAATAATCCAAATCGAGGTTTCACCCAAATGATATGAGTAATAGATAAACGGTTAGGTAAATAATTATATACGTATAGCACGATCCTTAAAATAATTAATGACACAAATTTTGATAATACCCATTGTCAACAAAGATGTTACCAAGAAATGTAAAAATAGCATAACTCGTTGCAAATTGATCAAGATAGACTTCATGAACAAATAACACCGTTCGGATAAGATTGAAAACTTCTGGATAGATTATCTATTATTTTTTCAACAGAATTTTTGTTTTAAAAAAGGTTTTGCTTAGTATTATTATTATTATATTTATTTTATTTTTTACTTTTACCCTTAACATGACCTTACCCTATTATCCAAGTGTTGCAGTCACTTAAATGCTCTCCATCTCTTTGCTTTTGAAATCTTTTCCTGTACGTACGTATCTATAAAAGCGACACTCCATTTTCTGCATCTTGTAAACTGGCTCTACCAACAATGGAAGCCTTTACTTTACTCAAATTCCGCCGCGGCGGCAGCGGTACCGGTACTAGTTTCTTCACTGGCAACTTGACTTCCAAACCAAGAACAGCCACCACTTCCTCCTCCGCCACCGCCTTGAAGCCACCTTCTGCAGATACTGACGACGCCGCCGATGATGATGGACCATACTTTGACCTGGAATTCACCCTCCCAGATGAGGAAGAAGAAGAAGCTAAAATCCAAGACAATGAAGATGAATCTGAAGAATCAGAGGATGAAAATGATGATCAAGAAGGAGAGTTGAAGTTTGAGCTCAGTAAGGATCTTGAGCGAATTTTATCTCCATCTGATGAGCTCTTCTTCAAAGGCCATTTGCTTCCCATTGAGCCTTCAAGCATTTTGTTGAATTCTCCCGAAAATAACTCGAAATTCCCTGCGGCTTTAGTAAAATCAGCCACGAAGTTTCGTGTTCTTCTTTTGAAGCTCAAGAAATCAAAATCAGAGAAAAATGAGGCTAATGGGCAGCCAAAAACTCAAGAAAATGGTAAAGAAAATCAGGCTAAAATACAAGGTAACAAGTTTTTCTTCGTGAAGTTTAAGGTCGAAGAAGTCCCACTTGTCTCTTTGTTCAGCAGAGATAGCAGCTCAAAGGGTAATAACAATGACGGAGTGCAGAAAAATGAAGTGGAGGACAAGGACTCCAATGAGAAAAAATTAACCAAAGAGACAGTACAGAAGTATCTGAAAAAGGTGAAGCCTTTGTATATTCGCGTTTCAAAGCGTTATGGAGAGAAATTAAAGATTGCTGGTCATTTAAGCTTCCCCGGAGGAGAAACCAAGGGTGATGCAGCACCAACGCCGCCGTGTGCGGCGGCAGAGAAAGGAGAAGGGGCAGCATTGAGCAATGTGAAAAGCCAGAAACCAGGGAATAATCTGCAAGCAGGGCTTAAAGTTGTACTTAAACACTTGGGGAAAAACCGGTCTGAGTCGTCGTCGGCGCCGGCACCCGTACCGGCTCCGGCGCAGGATCCACTGGCGAATATGTCGTCAAGTCGGCGAGATGACTCGCTTTTGCAGCAGCATGATGGGATTCAAGGTGCCATTTTACATTGCAAGCGATCATTCAATGCCTCCAGAGGTAACTATTTTTTACCTTAAAAGTAACCTTTTTTGTACTCTTGAATTGTCTTTTTATTAATTTACTCTTTTAACCTTATCCAGAAGTGGAACCGTTCGTTTTACCACGTTCAACTAGCGATCCATCACATGAAAAGTCAGTAAATTTGTCTGCAGATTCAGAGGAAGCCAAGAAGAAGTGCCAGCCAGTATGGTAAATAAATATCAGTGTAGGTCAAAGTCAAACCACTACTAGTAGTATGTAGAAGGGTAATGTATCGTCTGGCTTTTATTTTGACTCATTCAAACTTTGGAAATACCGAGAAATGAGTCTGCTTTTTATATGTATGTAGCCACATCAATTTACCAGTTTATTAAAGTTAATATTAAGGTATAAGAACGAGAGTGAAAAATATAGTCGCTACGAATCTCACAGAAAAGATAGATTTTCAAATATGATGATTTGATGTGATGGATAATGATCATATTTTTTATTTTAATGAGTAAATAATAAAAAATAAACGGGGATAAATGTTTATTTGAATTATTCTTGATAAATTGAAAAAGGGGCAGTAATAAATTTGTCAGTAACTTGTAAATGTCTTTAAAGTAGTAGACAACAAGTGATTAGACCTTATTTACCTATTTGTACTTTTTATAAAGCATTTCTCTTTTGTGAAAGTGAGAGAAGATTTTACTTGGTCTGTCTCCACATTGGAAATCTTCTTTATTAAATTTTTTGTGCATTTTAAGATAATCATGAAAAATAATAAAATTTTACTTAACTTCTAAGATGTACATATTGCCCTTGTTTGAATCCCATTTTTTGGGGAAGAATGAATTTTTGAATAGTATATTGATAAAAAATGAGTGGTTAAAAAATAAGAAAAATTTTTGATTTTACGTGTAATATTATTTTATTGAATAATATGTGATTGAAATAATGTAAAATACTGTTGAAAAATAAATTTTTTCAAAAGAATGAGTTCAAACAAGAGCATTACTTGTCTACTTTCAAATATTACTCTCAATTTTAATTAAAAGCATCTTCAAGAAAATTTTAAATACAATATAATTTTTATTTTAGAGCTAACACACGAAATTCTTTATTTAAAATTACT